ATGTGGGTTGTCTATTTGCTCTGTTAATTATTTCCTTGGCTGTGCAGAAGGTTTTTAATTTAATCAAGTCCCATTTATTTATTTGTTGTTGCTGTGATTGCCATTGGGGTCTTTTTTATAAATTCTTTGCCTCGACCAATATCTAGAAAGGTTTTTTCCAACATTTTCTTCTAGAATTCTTATGGTTTCATGGCTAATATTTAAGTCCTTTATCCATCTTGAATTAATTTTTGTAAGTGGTGAGACATATGGATCCTGTTTCATTCTTCAGCATGTGGTTGTCCAATTTTCCCAGCACCATTTATTGAATAGGGCTTCTTTTCCCCAGAGTATATTGTTGTCTGCTTTGTCAAAAATCAGTTGGCTGTACGTGAATGGTTATGTATCTCGGTTTTATATTCTCTTCCATTGTTCTATATTTCTATTTTTGTGCCAATACCATGCCGATTTAGTTACTGTAGCCTTGTAGTATAGTTTGAAGCCTGGTAATGTGATGCCTCCTGATTTGTTCCTTTTTCTTACAATTGCTTTGGTTATTCAGGCTCTTTTCTGGTTCCACATGAAGTGTAGAATTGTTTTTTTCTAGATCTGTGAAATATGAAGTTGATATTTTGATAGGGATTGCATTGAATTTGTAAATCACTTTGGGTAGAATGGACATTTTAACAATGTTGATTCTACTGATCCATAAGCATGACATGTTTTTCCATTTGTTTATATTATTTGCAGTTTCTTTCATTAGTATTTCATAGTTCTCTTTTTAGAGCTCTTTCACTTCCTTGGTTAAGTATATTCCTAGGTATTTTATTTTCTTTGTAGCAATTGTGAATGGTATTGAGTCTTTGATTTGACTCTGAGTTTGACTGTTATTGACGTATAAGAATGCTACTGATTTGTGTACATTAACTTTGTAACCTGAGACTTTGCTGAATTCAAGGAATCTCTTGGTGGAATCTTTGGGGTTTTCTAGGTATAAGATCATATTGTCTACAAAAAGCCATAGTTTGATCTCTTCTTTCCTGAATTGGATACCCTTAATTTCTTTCTCTTGCCTGATTACTCTGGCTAGGGCTTCCAGCACTATGTTGAATAGAAGTGGTGTGAGTGGGCATTCTTGTCTTGTAGTTTTTAATGAGAATGCTTTCAACTTTTCCCCATTCAGTATGATGTTGGCTATGGGTTTGTAATATATGGTTTTTATAATTTTTATATATGTTCCTTCTATTTCTAGTTTGTTGAGAGTATTTATTGTGAAAAGGGTGCTGAATTTTGTTGAATGCTTTTTCTGCTTCTATTGAGGTGATCATATGATTTTTGTTTTTGCTTCTGTTTATGTGGTAAATCACATTTATTGATTTACGTATGTTGAACCATCCTTTGCATCCCTGGGATCAAGCCCATGTGGTTATGGTGGATTATTGTTTTGATTCGGTTTGCTAGTATTTAATTGAGGATTTTTGCATCTATATTCATAAGTAATATTGGTCTGTAGTTTTCTTTTTTTATTGTGTCCTTTCCTGGCTTTGGTATCAAGGTGGTACTGGCTTTGTAGAATGAGTTGGGGAGGTTCCCTCCTTCTTGATGTTATTAAATAATTTCTACAGAATGGGTACCAACTCTTCTTTATAGTTCTGATAAAATTCAGCTGTGAATCCCTCTGGTCCGGGGCTTTTTTGTTGTTGGAGGATTTTCTATTGCTGCTTCAATCTCATTGCTCATTATTGGTCTATTTAGTTCTGTTTCTTCCTGACTGAGTCTTGGGAGGTTGTGTGTTTTCAGAAATTTTGCCATTTTCTCTATGTTTTCGAATTTATGTGCACAGAGATTTTTGTAGTATTCACAGATGATATTTTGTATTTCTGTGGCATCAGTTGTAATGTCTCCTTGAATTCTTTCTCTTCTATTCCTGGTTAATCTAGCAAGAGGTCTATCGACTTTATCTTTTCAAAGAAGCAACTTTTTGTTTCGTTGATCTTCTGTATAATTTTCTTGTTTTCAAGGCTGACTTTCTTGTTAGGGACTAATGCATCTGACAACTTTAAGTTAAAGCCAATACTCATTACTATTCTGAAAATCCTAGGGCCCTTAAGAAGTATGCTTAATCTACTCTGCCTGTGCTCTATTAATGGAACAACAAAGCCTGGACGACAGCACATCTATTTATAGTATGGTTTACTGAATATTGTAAGCCTACTGTTGAGACCTACTGCTCAGAAAAAAAGATTCCTTTAAGAATATTACTACTCATTGGCAATGCACCTAGTCACCCAAGAACTCTGATGGAGATGTACAAGGAGATTAATATTGTTTTCACACCTTCTAACAAAGCATCCATTCTGCAGCCCATGGATCAAGGGATAATTTTGATTTTCAAGTCTTATTATTTAAGAAATACATTTCATAAGGCTATCACTGCCATGAATAGTGATTTCTCTGATGTATCAGGGCAAAGTAAATTGAAAGGATTCACCATTCTAGATGTGACTAAGAACATTTGTGAATCATGGGAGGATGTCAAAATATAAAAATTAACAGGAGATTGGAAGAAGTTTGTTCTAATTCTCATGAATGACTTTGAGAAATTCAAGACTTCTGTGGAAGAAGTAACTGCAGATATGGTGGAAATAGCAAGAGAACTAGAATTAGAAATGGAGCCTGAATATGTGACTGAATTGCTACAATCTCATTATAAAACTTTAGTGGATAAGGAGTTGCTTCTTATAGATGAACAAAGAAAGTGGTTTCTTGAAACAGAGTTTACACCTTGTGAAGGTGCTATGAACATTGTTGAAATGACAACAAAGGATTTAGAATAGTACATAAATGCACTTAATAAAGCAGTGGCATAGTTTGGGAGGATTGACTCCAATTTTGAAAGAAGTTCTACTATGGGTAAAATGCTGTCAAACAGGATCCCATGCTACAGAGAAATCTTTTGTGAAAGGAAGAATTAATCAATGTGGCAAACTTCATTGTTGTCTTATTTTAAGAAATTGCCACAGCCACCCCAACCTTTAGCAACCACCACCCTGATCAATCAGCAGCCATCAACATCAAAGCAAGACCCTCCACCAGCAAAAACATTATGAAACATTATGCCTTGCTGACGGCTAAGATTATTGTTAGCATTTTTTAGCAATAAAGTATTTTTATATTAAGGTATGTACACTGTTTTTCTTAGATATAATGCTATTTTACACGTAATAGACTACAGTATAGTGTAAACATAACTTTTATACGCACTAGGTAACAAACAAACAAAAAATCATGTGACTTGCTTTCTTGTGGTGTTGTAGAACCAAACCCACAATAGCTCCAAGGTATGCCTGTATACACTGCTGTTTGCATTTCCTCCTACCATGTAGCTGGTACCTAACCACACAGTGAAGGAGCTAAGTTGTACTTTGTAAATTTTGGTGCTTAGGGGCAAGGAGAGATGCTCATGCAGGCCTTTAGCTCTGCTATACTCTAACCCAAATTTTGTCAGACAGGCTTGCCCTGGCATAGCATGCAGTCATGCAACTAATAATAGCTGAACCTATCTATCAAAGCAGAACTCTTGATTCCTTACTTCCAGCCTGTTGCTCCCTCAAATTTCCCATCTCCATCATCTCTTACTTGAATTACTACAGTTGGTTCCAAATAGATCTTCCTCCTTGTTACTCTGGCTTTTCTATTAATACCATCCATCCCCCACAGAACAGCCAGAGTGACCTTTGAAAAATACACATTAGATCATGTCATCTCCCACCTACTACTCTCCAAGAAAGTCTCATTATGCTTTTGAAAAATACAAGCTCATTACCCCGACCATGTGATCTGTCCCTTTCTATACCTTTCCATTATTTTGGATCACTCCACTGCTCATTCACTATGCTCTAGTTACATGTTCTGTTTCTTGAATACTTCAAGGTTGTTCCTGCCTCTAGTCTTTTGCACCTACTGAGGGCTCCACCTGAATGAATATACTCAGATCTTCAAATAGCTCTAAAATACTCAAGAAGTCTTTCCCAACCACCCAAATTATATTAACTGCTCCCTAACATATCAGTCTATTTTGTTTTCTTTATATTTATAGCACTTAAAAATCATCAAAATACAGGCCGGGCGCGGTGGCTCACGCCTGTAATCCTAGCTCTCTGGGAGGACGAGGCGGGCGGATTGTTTGAGCTCGGGAGTTCGAAACCAGCCTGAGCAAGAGCGAGACCCCGTCTCTACTAAAAATAGAAAGAAATTAATCGGACAACTAAAAATATATAGAAAAAACTAGCCAGGCATGGTGGCACATGCCTGTAGTCCCAGCTACTCGGGAGGCTGAGGCAGGAGGATCGCTTGAGCCCAGGAGTTTGAGGTTGCTGTGAGCTAAGATGACGCCACGGCACTCTAGCCCAGGCAACACAGTGAGACTCTGTCTCAAAAAAAAAAAAAAAAAATCATCAAAATTATTTACATGTTGACCTTTTATTGCCTGTCACCCTACATTAGAACAATCTCATTAGTGCCTGGAAGAGCACCTGGTTCTAAGGATTGCTCAATAAATAATTATTGAATGAACATATGATCTTGTATCTTATTTGGCTTTTGTTTTTCATGTTTATGACTCAGAGAATCCATCATAGGGGAGGGATGAGTAGTAGGGCAGCGTTGGGGCATTGCCAAAAAGTGTTTTGAATTCTAGTGTTCTCCCTTCAAAACTATCCCTCGTAGATTTAGCACAAGTGCTGAGACCACAGTAAAGAGCGGGGCAAGGATTCGGGATTGTGTATTAGCTATTGCTGGACATTACCCCTTGGATACATGATTAACACCCAGCCCCTTACCTGGCAGTGCACCCACACTGCCCTCCCCAGTTGCCAGACACATACCTTCTTCTACCTTCAGTGCGAAATACGTCCTCTTTCCTCAGTCATGCACACTGTGCTTGCCCCTCAGTGTGTCATGTTCTGCCTTCTTGGTGTGCGCACAACCTACTCTCCTTCCAAATCTCAGAAATCTTTCGTGGAATAACTACAACTTTATTTTGGTAGAGAGGCTCAGGTCAGGGGTGGGCTGCACACATGGACTCTCCGTTGGACACAGGTGGCAGGGCTGAGCTTTGTGAGTAGGGGCAGGTGCATCAGGATGTTCCTGCTCTGCAGCTTTGTGGTGCCAAGGGGCCCTGCCATGTACACAGGACACGAGTACACAGTCAGGCCGGCTGGGGTTGGAAGGTCTGTGGCGTCCGGGGCCTGTGTGCTGACGCTGACCGGAGGCAGAGGGCTAGGCCGGCTGGAAGGACTGTCCTGCAAGGCCCCAGCTATGGGGTCCCACTCGGCGTGTAGGAGCTGTAGCCCGATCAGCAGCAGCCCCCTCTCTGGAACTGAGGGATTTGGGCCATTCTCCACCTGGGGGCGCCAGAAGATGGTCAGACAAGGCTATAAAGCTCGGGTTTGGGAGTGGGAGGGTGTTGTGATGGAGCGAGATCAGAGAAGCGAGCCGAACTGGGTCACTGAGGGGCAAGATCACAAGGGGCAGGATTGGGTAACTGTGAGGTGTGATCAGGAACCTTGAGGGGGTTGGAACTGAGAACGAATGGACGGCGGGAAGATACCTGGAGGTGCAGAGGGCTGCTGTTTAACTCCTGACGTTTATGCGGGAACTGACTGGAACCGGAGCGTTGGCTACCAGGAAAATTCGAGCTGGACACATTCTGGTTAAGGGCAGCCTCCCAACGCAGTGCCAGCAGCAGGCGGCGCGGGTGGCGAAAGGCTGACAGGTGGAAGACGCGCTCTGGTACATCGGTGTCCACGCCCACGCCCAGGTAGCGAACCAACAGCTGCCCACGACGCGAGAGCTGTCGCAGCCAGTGCCAGGGTGGCTGCGGACCGGCGGGAGCATGAGCTTGCCAAGGCTGGGGTAGGCGGCCATTCCAGAGAGCGTGGGCCACTGCGGCACAACGCTGGGAGGCGCACGGGGGTGCGCCCTTCAGCTGCTGCAACAGGCAGTCGAGGTCCTGTTGTATCATGCCAGCCAACTGGCTCAGTTCCAGCGCCTCGACCTCTAGGAAGCCCTCTAGAGGCCGCCGCGCATTCGGGCCCAGCACTGCCCATGGGGCGCTAAACTCTTGGCGAGCAGTGTCGGTCAGCAGTATCTGCAGTGACTCCAGCCTCCGCGTGGCTTGCATTAGGCGTTGCCGCAGTCGCCTTTCTGCACGCTGGGTGCTTCCACGAGCCACAGGAACCCATGTAGGTGAACTCAGTTGCAAAGCACTTAGGAGAGCGCGACTCTGGCGTCGCAACAGCCAGGCCTGGGGGCCCTCACTCAGTCCACAGATCCGGGGTTCAGATGGTGTGGGCAGTAGGTGCATCTGGGCCTTGCACTCTGCCATTGCATCCAGCTCCCCTAGCTCTTTGGAATGGAAGTGAGCAGTGAGGGACAAAATGGACTGCCCCACCCCAGACCCCAGACACTAGGCCTTCCTCTGATCCTTTATGCCATCACCCCCATAACTATGTGAATATTGTCTCCTCTATTCCCTCATTGGTACTGCTATTCACATTCCTGTAGGGGGTGGCATTGCACTGTACTATTCCCCACCCCAGCACAGATATCTGGCTGGGGCTTACCTGGGCTGGGCATCAGTGTAGCCAGCAGATACTGTGGTGTGTGTGGTTGAACCCAACTCCCGCTGCTAGGCCTCAAGCAGGCTCGTGTGAGGCTAATCAGGACCTTCCTGTCCTCGGTGTCCCCCACAGGACCCCCATAGAAAACTGAAGCTGAAAATGAGGTCAGAGCCTCTAAGTTCCAGCCCTTCCAATTTCCACCACCCCCCAAACCAAAGTTGTGAATTATGATCCAGTCTTAATACTCCCACCCCAACCCTTTTCCAGGCCCTCCTGGAGGCTGATGACTGCATGGGGCAAGGAAGGGTCTCACCAGCCAGCTCCTGCATGGCAGCACTGGGATTGCTGAGACTGGCCCACAGCTGATCTTGGATCTTAAGGACCTGGGTTAGGGTCACTTGACTCCTGGGGAATGGGAGCAGAAAGTAGGGTTTCAAATATCATCTATATGCTGAGGACTCTCAAATCTTTTCTTCATGCCAAACCTCTGACCTGAGCGCCAGGCTCATGAGGGCTCACTAGTCATTGCCACTTGGCACCTCAAATACAACTTGTTTTCAACTGAAATCATCATTTTCCCCCATAAAACCTGCTCTTCTCCCATCCCAGCGAGAAGTATCACCAGCCATCCAATTGTCTAAAGCAGAAATCTGGGAGTCATCCTCGACTCCTCCTTTCATACCCCATATTTGTTCTCTATCCCTGCTGTGACTACCAGCCCAGTCCTTACCACCCATACCACGGTCTCTTCTTTGGAGACTACCAGAGCCTCCTAAAAGTGCTCTGCTTGCCTCTAGTCCTGCCTCTTCTGGTCCATTCTCCACTCTGCAGCCAGAGTGATCTTTCCAACAGACAAAAAGGATCACGTTTCTTTTCCTCCTTAAAACCATTCAGTGGCTTCCTACTGTCCTCAGGATAAATTTAAGTCCCTTGTCGTAGTCTTAAAGGCCCTTTATAATGAGCCTCACCACTTTCTACTCAGTCCCCAGCATGTCCACCTCAGCCACACTGAAGTCTCCTCCCTTCTGCTGAGTTTAATTCCCTCTGCTCAGAAAGGCTCCATCTCCACCTGATTTGCCTTTGCTTTTAAGACTCAATTCAATATGAGATCCCAAAGTCCTTGGAGAAGGCTTCCTTAATTTCCCCTTGCCCTTATACTTTAGAGCCCCCAAGGATGAATTAGTTTTACTCATCCCAGCATGTGGAAGATACTTAGCATTTGCTCTTATAACTGAGCAAGATGGGTGGGATCCCTTACCAGCGGCCCCTGTGTGCCTGCAGCCTTGTTCTGTAGAGCTGCCGGTGTAGCAGAAGGCCATGTAGGAGAAGCAGAGGCAGTGCCTGGGTTGGGGATTGCATGTAGAGTCCTTGCTGGGCTAGCTCCACACTGTCAATCAAAACGTGGCCCAGCTCCAGGGACTGGTCCCAGAAAACAGGCATAGAGTGCTGAGTCAGCACAGCTGGGGAGGAAGAAGAGTGCTGAGTCAGCACAGTGCAGTTGCCTTTACCCTTCCAATTTGAGAGCCTGTAGAGCGAAGCTCCTCACCTGGCAAGGAAGCAGTAGACTCCACAGACACAATAAGCCAAAGACGAAAATCTCTGTGAACTGTGGCCACATTCCTGCTTTGGGGTTGGGCTAAAAGCAGTTCCAATTCCACGTCCGAGACCACTAGGGTCAGAAATGGGGCTAAGATCAGTCCTCAGGTAAAGGGTCATACAAAGTCTAGGAATCAGACTTGAGGTTAGGGGGTCAGGAGTTAGATACATGGCCAAGTGGACAGGCTTGGAGCTAGGGGATTGAGCATGAGGCCTGAGATTTCAGGCTCAGGCCCACGTGTAGGGTAGGATCCTAGAAGCCATCTCTAGGCAGGAAACCCACCCTTGGCTCCATCCAACAGTCCCAGCAAGGGCTGTAGCAGCTCTTTCGGCCAATGAGGCATCAGATGACAGTTATCCAGCACCAGCCAGTGCCCCTTGTTCATGGCCTGGCATAGAGTGCTGACCACGACTGAGACCGGGTCCCAGGCTTCAGAGCCCAGGGCTATCACCTGCAGATGCTTCTGCCCCTGGGGACCAACAAAGAGATGGCAGCGTGACTCAAAGTGATCCTGGGGTGACCCAAGGGACCCAGACTAATGCCACAATGATCCTAAAAGTCCCTGAGTAATCCAGAAAGATCCATGAGAATGCTAGGAGGGGGACCCCACACCCCAGCCCACTGGATCACTCTGCGGCCAAGAAACTAGGTTCAAACCTGCTCATGCTTGGCAGCCAGTTTCTGGATAACAGTCAAGGGATGCAAAGTGGCTGTGGGGTGACCAGGCGGTGGCAACAAGATCAGCATGGGCTGAGTGGCCTGACTGTGTTTAAATGGCATGGTGGGGGCACCCAGGTTTTCATCCAGGGGCCGGCCCAGGAGGCTGGTGGTGAAGTCTGCCAGGGCACCTGCCAGGCACTCAGGTCGCAGCACACGCCACAGGATCAGCTTCTGGAGGAGGCTGAGTGGCTTAGAACCAGGCCCAGGTGCAGGACCCAGCACTGTGGATGACAGTGACAGATAAGCCTGCCAAACATTGGAGTGGCCTGCCAGGGATTCACACAGCCCAACAAATGGGGGAAGCAGCTCTAACAACTCACATTCACGCCAGGCTCTTGGCCCTACCCAGGCAGGTCGAGCCACACTTGGGACTTCCTTGCTGTGACTTGTGCTGGGAGAGGCTGCCAATCCAGGCCAGAATGCCAGCCTCTCCAGCTCTGATGCCTTCCTTGTCACTCGCAGCAGAGCCAAAGCACCCAAGGCACCCACCAAGGGTAGTTGGGTCAGGCCCAGTGCAGCCACGGCACTGCCCAGAAGTTGGTGGGTCAGGTGTGTTCTTAGCTGCAGCAGATGGCTGGCCAGGTCCTCCCCATGACGAATCTCACATGGCTTCATCCTGTCCAGAGCCTGCTTGGTGGCTGCCAGCCAGTTCTCTGGGCTCATACGGAAAAGTGGCAGCAAATTCTGCAATTGGCTTAGGGCCTTTACAATGGCCATTCCATGCCAAGCCACACGCCGATAAGGTGCCCATAATACCATCTCCTGTAGCTTCTGCTCTTCTACCTCTTCTGAATGGGCACGCAGCTGACAGAGCTCTGCCTGGGCCCTCACCATGTTCCGCAGAAACTTAGCTGGTTTCTGACATTTTGGATTCTGGAGCAGCAGCCTCATCAGCAGCTGCTCCTGCATTTAGTCATTTGTTGAATGAATCTGGCCCTTTCCCATAGTCCCCAAACATCTACATTCATCTCCACCACCATACCCAAGCCCACCAATGCTCATCCCAACCCACAGACTGGGCCCCCAAGCACCTCAGCAGCCTCCACGGCTTCACGAGCATCCATGGCTCTGATCTTCAGCTCCTGCCAGCGGGTCTCAAGCTCAGGACGCTCTCTACACAAGATTTCATGCAGCATCTGTTCTTCTAGTATTTCCATGTTCAGGCCCAGATCCAGCACATTCAGCCCCTTCAGCAGTTCACAACCTAGCACTTGAGGTCACATGAGAGATGCTTAATCCCTTCCCCTTGGCAGATCCAGGGGCTGGGGTGGGTAAGAATATGGCTCCCTACTGTCCTCAGCCTGCTCTGAGCCAGGTTGAGTGAAGCCCCCTAGGGCTGGCCATGGGGGCCGAGTATATTCACAAAACTGCACTGGCAATTTTCCCTCTGGGCCTCACCTTTTTCCAAGGCATGGAGGGGCAGGGTGGTGCTCAGATAGAGACAGAAGCCAGGCTGCACCTGGGGTGGACTCAGCTGCTCCCGCTGCAGCAACCATTGCAGTTCTTGGCACTCCAGGCCCAGCTCCACGTTGGTCAGTAGCACGGGCAGGCCTGTGAGGGGAGGCAAGGACATCCCACCCACAATGCCAGCACCCATGACGCGACCCCCACCCCATGCACGAGATCTGGCTCTGATCAGCTCCCTGCTGGCTGACAGGAGGGTTCCCTCAAGACTCTTCCACATAGTGTCTGGGATAAAGGGTGGAGCTGAGGTCATACTGGGGTGTGAGAGGCCTCTGGGGGCCACAGAATCAGGGGAGGAAAAAGGGAGGACAACAGGGTGGGTGGGGACCAGTTCTCACCACCAGCAGCTGCCTCCCAGAGCTGAGGACCCAGCTCTGGGTCGGCGCCTGAGAGGACCCTAAGGCAGGGAAGAGGTGGAGACTGAGTCTCAGAGGCTGGCTTTGACCTCTGGCTCTCCGTCTCCTTCTCCTTCTCTTTCTCTTCTTGCTCTTTTTTCTCCTCTTGCTCTTGCTCTTTCTTATTCTCCTCCTCCTTGTTTTCCCTTTCTTCTGCCTTCTGCTCTTTTGTCTGGTCCTTAGCCTCATGACTCTCTTCACTGTCATCATCTTCCTCTTTTGTGTCCTCCTCTTTACTCTTTCTGTTCTGGTTTCTCATGAGGCCCTTCCCTGGGGCAGAAACATGCAGAGGAGCTCTTCTTAGGGGAGGAATTCACCCAAGAGCTCCATTTCACGAGGGAAGGTCTGCAGGAAGACATATTAGCAAAGTTGCTTAAGCTCTCTAGGACGCAAATTCTTATCTGCAAAATGGGGTTGGTATTAGTGATGACCTCATAGGGTTACTGTGAAGTTTAAATGAAATGATACATAGAAAGCATTTATACTAGCACAGAGTAAGCACTCAATAAATGTTGGCTATCATAATTACTACTCTAAAATACCAGGGAGGGATTCTATTAATCTCTGAAATTGGCTCCATTTCTGCCCTTTCTGTAGGTTGATTAGAAGAGTCAATGTATTTCCCTTTTTTGCCTAAGATAATTCTATCACTAACAATTAAGACAGTACTCACTAATAAAGAAATCAGTTCCTGGAGGTAGTGACTTACAAGTGAAAGGCCATAAACTATGGAATTGCCAAGGCATGGCTGGTGTGGTGGATGCAGACAGTTGCCCCCCATACCAACAGCCATTCTTACCCCCTTCTCTCTTGCCTCCTCTATTGCAAGAGCTGGAAAAGATAAATATTTGGGTTCTTTTTAGGTTCTCTTGCAAGTGGAGGTTGCCAGGTCCACAGTTTGGTGCATTCACTTTAAATTGCTAACAAATCACCACAAATTTAGCAGCTTAAAAAAACACCCATTTATTATCTCACAGTTTTCTAGATTAGAAGTCCAGCACAGTACAGCTGGATTCTCTGCTCAGGGTTACACTGGGCTAAAATCAATCTATCCTCTGGGGCTGCAGTTCACATCTAGGGGTTGGGGGTCCTCTTCCAGGCTTACTAGTTTTTGACAGAATTCATTTTCTCACACTTGCCCTGTAGCTCTCTCCATCTTCAAGCCAGCAACAGTTCATTGAATCCTTCTTGTGTTTCAAATCTCTCTGCATTTTCTTTCCTCCTTTCTGCTTTGAGGGGCTCATTTGATTACATTGGGCTTACCTGGATAATCCAGGATAATCTCTCTCTAAGGTCAATTGATTAGTAACCTCAATTACATCTGCAAAGTCTTTCTTGCCATGTATACAACATAATTGTGGGAGTAACACCAGAAGGCAAAGGTCACAGGGGCCAAAATTCTTCCTACTACATTTGGCTATTCAGACTTCTGGAAGGTCTTTTGCTTTCCTGACAAAAGGGACAGAAATGGCCAGCAGCAACCCTCACATGATGCTTGGAGGGTAGCAAACATCTTGCAACTATGATGTGTATATTAGTTTTCCAGGAATTCCCCAACAAATTACCTAAAACAACAGAAACTTATTCTCTCATAGTTCTGGAGGCCAGAAGTCTGAAATCAAGGTGTCAGCAAGGCTACACTCCCTCCAGAGGCTTTAAGGGAGAATCTACCCATGCTTCATCCAGCTTCTGGTGGTTCTATGTATTCCTTGGCTTGTGGCTGCATAACTCCAATATCTGCCTCCATCTTCACATGGCTGCCTCCTCTGTGCTCTGTGTATCTATGTCTGCTCTTCTCTTATAAGGATAATTGTCATGGGATTTAGGGCCCACCCAGATTTTGGGTGATCTCATTCAAAGTTCTTAACTTAATTATATCTGCAAAGACCTTTTTTCCAAATAAGGTCACATTTTTCTCACCAACTCAACCCCTAACCCCTCCTTCTGTGGAATAAACACCCTGTCTTCCTTCTCCTAGGAAAAATGGTCTTTCCAATACTCCACCCAGATGGGTCCCTGATCCAAGCAGAGCCAATAGAAATATTCCCCAGGATTTCTGAAAATTGGACAAATTTGGGTAGTGCTGAGCAGACCAGGGAAGTGGAAGATCATCAGCCATGTAGATTCAGAATCATTGTAATATACAGAAAAAAACTGTAAATGTGACCAAATTTATTAATATAGTATAGGCTAGTGAAATCTGAGACATCCTGGTTATAAAAATTCAGTGTCTCCATTATGAAGGGAAAGACCACATGTGGCTGAGAGTGTTAGGCAGCTCAGACACTCCAGAAGCCTTGTGTTTATTATCCCTGCTTACCTCTACCTGCTGGCACCACGCATCTGTTCTCTGTCAGAGGCAGTGGGCTCAGCCACATGAGGGCCTGGTTGCTGGGGTCAAGCAGCAGAGGCCAACGGCACCTACTGTAGTGGGTGGTGCTTCGCAGAAGGAGGCCTGCCAGGCGGGCTGACTTTGCCTGGGGCTTCAGGTCTCGGTCCCACTGGCACTGTTCGGATGCAGAGCTCATCAAGGACAGAATACTAAAGGGAGAGCATGTGGGCAGCAGGGGCTTCTTTGGTGGCATGCTGACAGATTTTTGCTTCTGCTTCAGTGCCTGTGCCACATCATCTGGGCCCAGGGCCTCCTGAAAGCCCCTACACAGAGCCAGCCACTTGTCCAGGAGCTCTTGGCGCCGCAATGGTGGAAAGGGACCCAGGTAGATGATGGCAGCTGAATGTAGGAGGGCATCTCCGAACACAGTAATGTAGTGCTCCTTCAACTTCTGCAGTGGAAGGGAAGACCAGAGGGTGTATAGGCCAGTGGTGGGGAGGCAGGCAGAGGTATGGAAGAGGGGGAGCAAAGCAGGATATGGAGGAGAGCATGGCAAGGAGTGCAGAGACAGGGAGGCAGTGAGGGCACAGGGAAGAGCTGGGGAATGGCATGAAATGAACTCTAGGGGAGACATCTGGGAGGGGGTTGGTTACCTGGAGCTGTGTAGTCCAGGAGTGCATGGGTGTGAGCAATGCAGCCTTTATGGGCCATTTGTGATATTGGCCGCACAGTGTCCAATTGAGGGCCTCCTCCACAGAGTTGTAGGAAGCTTGGGCATCCTCCACTTTCTTAGTCAGGGCCGAATTCTGCTCCAGGAGCTCCTGGGCCTGAAACTGGTAGTGGCCCAGGCGAGCCTGCTCCCGAGCCAGTGTTACCTCCACTTGCTGCAGCAGCAGGCCAGTGGGCAGCCCCCGGCGCTGTGCCAGCCCATAATGCAGAACGGCCCAGAGCCAGGTCACCAGGCTTGCTGCAGATGCGCTTACTGCTTGCAGGGCTGCATTGCTCATACCTGGAGCCTTCAGAGCTAGGTGCAACTTTGTTAGCTCTGAGTCTGTCATCTTCTCCTTGGGGAAGAACACCAGCTTCTGGGAGGATGTATAGTAAAGGGATGAGGGAAGACATGGGTGCCCTGTACCTTGCCCAACAGTCTAGCCCTGCCAAGTCTCCCATTTATGTCTCTCCCTCCTCTTTCATTCTGCCCCACTTTCCCTACCTGATAAAAATCCTCAGTGCATAACAGCTGCTTAGCACTGGCCCAGCCTGTTTCACGGTGGAAGAGGTTGCATAGTGCATCGGTCACCTGGACCACAGATTCTGGTGGTGCTCGATAGCTCCGTATCTCCTCAAAGTCAGCTACTTGCAGCTGGCTCAGAGGCCCCAGAAATGCCTTTCCCATCTAAATAGGGAAGACGCATTCTTCAGTGAGCTCCTGAGATGTTGCCAGGAGGGATCATCCCCTCCTAGGAGTTCCCATGAGAGGCCACTCCCAAGCCATGCTATTACCTTTGTCCCCTCCCCCAGAAGACTCCATAATGAGTCACCCCATCCTCTCCTCTGAGAATCCTTTGAGGGGTTTCCCTTTTCCAAGAGAGGAGCAATGCAAGGCAGGCAGCAGGAAGAACCCACCTGTTCCAGGAATGCTTCATGCTGATCCTGTAGGGCATCCCGCTGCTTAGCCAGGTTCTCAATGAGATTCTCCTGATGCCGACACTCTGCCAGCTGCCGCCTGTATTGGTGCTTGCTTTGCCCTAGCTGCTGCTGAAATATGCTGAGGTTCTGTGAACAGAGATCCAGGCCCTGCAGCTCCAGATCCTGGGCCATGTGGGAACACCCCAGGGGAAGACCCCATGATCTTGGGCCCCCAACATACTGCTCACTTGCTAGGGTGACCAAGTTGCACTACAAGCAGGCCACAGATAGAGTCTGAGCTCTGGGTCTGTCACTTATGGGTCTGTGAGATGTACACCTAGAAATGCAGTCCTAAGGAAGTGGTTGCTTTTCTTGAAGCTGCTTTACCATACAGGCTCAGGCAATCTGAAACCAAAGCCTGTATATGTAACTATTATGCTACACTCCTTATGTTGCTTGACCCATTAGGAGCCATTGCCACAGAAGACAGTTCTCTTCCTCTTGACGCATTCTCCTTCCTCGGCCTTCATGGTACCATGTTCTCCTTGGGCTTTCTCTAGCCGTCTCTGGCTGTAATTTTCAGTCTCTTCCTCTGCCATCCCTTAACTATTCCTCAGCTATTTTTGCAGGGCCCCCTTCTCTTCTCACTCTACACTTCCGTACACCCACCCTAATCTCATGGCTTTGATTACCACTTAGATTCTAAAAACTACCAAATCTCTCTCCAGCCAGGTTCTCTCCCAAGCCCCACACCATGTATCCATCTGCTTAGTGGAAATCTCTTACAGGTCTCACAGGCCCCTCAGATTCCACATGCCCCAACCTGGATGTATTGGTCACACCCCTTCAGCTCCCCTGTGATCTGACTCCTCTCCTTGTATGTTCTTTTTCTCAGAGAACTGTGGCAAAATACATTCAGGTTTCCCAAGGAAGAAACCTAGTTATTACCCTTGGCTCCATCTCCTCTATTCCCCCCAACTCAGCCTATCTTTGAAGGTTTTCAATTCTAACTCCTAAATGCCTCTCCTGTCCACTCCCATTCCCAACATTCATCGCGCATGCTCTGGCTCCCTCACTCCTGACCTTCTGCACCGGCTTCCTCATTGGTCTCTCAGTTTCCACTCTTATTTCCCCCCTCTCATTTCCTCACTGCAGCCTGATTGGTTTTCTAAAAAATGAATCTCTTCATCATTATCATGGACCCTAACACTTGTCACTTCTACATTTGGTTGGCAAGGCCTTTGTGACCAGGCTCCTACTCATTTTTCCAATCTCATCTCTTTTCTCTCTCACAGCACTGTGCTTTCTAGCCAGTCCTTACTTTCATTTCCCCCAATATGGCACACACTGTCTTGCCTTTACACCTTTGCACGTCCTGTTACTTCAGCCTGGGACATTCTTCCCCTTATATGACTGACCAAATCTTATCTAATCTTTAGGCATCAACTTTGATGTCCTTCATTCACTTTTTAAGGAATGTTTAAGGAATTCATATTTTGAGTCCCTACCATGTTCTACACATGTTCTGTGCTATACACTGGGGCACTATGCTTTCTCTAGAAAGCTTTTTTTGATACTTCAGAACACTCAGACCTTCTCTGTCATAACATTGTTTTGTAATTGCCTGGATGAATCTATACCTTCCAGTAAACTGTAGGCACTGTGAAGGCAAATACAGTGCCTTATCTCCTCTTATTAGAAGGCAATATAACCTAATAGTGATAGTAACCAATATTTATTGAGCTCTTATTATGTGCCAGCCCCTTTAAATGCTTTATATGTAAGATCTCATTTAATCTTCCTTACATCCTTATGAGGTTAGAAAATTCTCCTCAACCTCTCTAGATCTCTGTTTTCTGATTTGTAAAACGGGGAAAGGATAGCCACTTCAGAAAATTGTGGAAAGGATTCTATCTTTCTATCTAAAGGTAAATGTAGACAGAAATGTAGATATATACAAAAATATTAATGAATGCCTGGACAAAAATATAGAGTTCAATTAATTTTTGTTGAGTACAATAACAAATTAATGAACCAATTGAATATGAGAGAGAAAAGTGATGGGGGTGCCCAGAATGATGATTAAGTGGATGGTGATGCCATTTCCTGGGGTGGGGAACACTGGAAGAAGTATTATTTGAAGACAGACTATTATGTGTGTTAAGTGAATGACCCAGAGATCTGACTCTGATTGACCCCTGAGATTATGTCTCTCATCCATATCTTCAGTTTATTGTGTTGTTCTCTGATGTAAATAATCCACAGATCAAGGAATGGTAGCACCCCTAAACCAGGTCAATGATTCCTAGTTTTAATCATGTTGGGAAAAGGTAAGAATTTGAAAAATATGGGAAAGGGGATTCTTGTAGCCCTCTTACATTCTTTTCTTTTCTTTTGCAACTCAACTGAATCTTGAGATTTCATCTAAGCTGGTCATCCTAGGTGTGGACAGTAAGACCTTGAGAACTTCGGAGGGCACCATTTATGCAGAACACAATGAAAACCATGTAGGCAGACATAAGATAAGGCATGCCTCTGGAGTTGTGCAACACTGGGGGACAGTCCTGAGGACACCCATCAGAGGAGGCTGACTAGGCATTAGGAGCTTAAGGCCTGAAAGCATAGTAGAAAGTCAGTCAGATTATCCAAGTACGAGATGGGCATTAGTTCACTTCTCATAGTTATCCCTGAACATTTATCAAAGTCTTGTATAGCAGGAAGGGGGGGAGAAAGTGCTATTTTAGAATTCCTCTTATTAAAAACAAAATAACTCTTTAGTTTGGGAAAACACCTTTAACTGGGAGTATTTTGCTACAGAAAGTATGATAACCTCCATGCCCACCAGTTTTAGCCAGATATGAGAAATTTGTTTATTCAAAGAAGAAAATTGCTCTGTATGAGAAAGCAAAAGGATTTGAGTCTTCAACTAGAAAAAAATCTCTTATTACATGAACTTGTATGTGGGAGCTCTAAAGGAAAAATGCAATGGCTGAATAACATTGTAGAGCAGGAGTTGGGGAGACAGGAGAGGAAGGGAAAACTTGGTCACTGGGAAATGCCTGGTAGAGGAGGGTGACTAAGAAAATTCAAGACATTGGTGTCTAGTACACCATTATAAATCTACTTTTGGTTTTGTGCTATAATGTAAATTTCCCCCTACTGCCATCACCCATCCACCTTTCCTCACTTGTTGCCTTTGCAGAAGGAAAAGGTGCAGGGACAAAGCACTATGAGAAAAGAGTATAAAACATAAGAAGTGAACCAACCAGCAGTGATAAGGAATTCAAGGGAGGAAGAAGACATGAGTGAGAGGTGACTGTGAGATGTAATTCCTGCCCCACCCCCTGGGGAATCTACAGAGATCTTGGGAGCATACTGAACTTCACACAGTCAAGGGCCTAGGGGCAACCAGAAGCAGACACTTGCATTTCATGTGTTACAAAGAATCAATCTGATCTCTGCTGTGTCATGGGGATCTTTTGAGCCTGAGCTCTAAAGGAGGTGGCAGCAGCGATTAGAGAGATTCCCCCGGGGAAGAGGGCGATCCTAGGGGGACACGAACTATGGTTCACTCTGGTTGATTCTTCCCAAGCCATCTTTTGGGGTCTTGCTTTGACACTACTGTGTAAGCCTCACAACATTCTCTCCCTTACCTTGCGGGAGTCTGTCAGCTTCTGTTCCAAGTTGAAGACCAGGTTGGCATGGGCATTGTGCTCCTCAATCAGCATTCTCAGATTCTCCATGGCATTCTGGATCCTGGAGATAAAATGTGCCAGTGAGTGCACCCAAGGAAGCAGAAGGAGGTACATTGCAGGGGATGGGGACACTCACCGCAGAGCCTTGTTCTTCATCTGCAAAGTCATCTGTTGTTGCAGCAGCAGGAAGGTGTCCAGAAAGTCTAGGAAGGTCTTGGGGGTGACAAGTGGCAATACAGGGCACAGTTGCTCGTGGTAGTAGGCAGCCGAAAGGTGGATACGAGCCATGGCTTTGGCCACACTGGGAATTGAGGCCTGGAGGTCTGGGCACTTCCAGGAACCTGAAATGGGAATGGCTTTAACCTGGCCTTGTGAGCTTGTAGGGAAATGGGAAAGGAAAGGGACCCTTTCCTAGCTCAGGAAGAAGGGTAGAAAATGTGAAGGGGGCTCCGTAGGCTCGACAGAGAGACAGAGACTGACCTAGATAATAACCCTCATTAGAGCCTGGTTAAGACAAGTGGTGAGGACAGGTAGAAAGGGCTCACCGTCATCAAGGGGTAGACTCTGAGCACTCTCCAGGTGGTGCTGGGCCACCTTGACCAGGGCAGCTTGGTCCCAGGGTTCATAGCGGTCAATGCTGGCAGTGGCCAGTTGAAGGAGCCTCAGAAAAAGGGTGGAGGGCATCTGCTTGTGGGCCTGTTCATCTTCAATCAGGAAGAACATGTGCAGGTGGCTGCACACTTGCTGGTAGAACCTGTAGGCCAGGGGCTCAGCTGCTGTGCTCCCTTTCTCCTGCTTGCCCACCTCTGTCCCAGTCCCAACCCTGACCCCTTAGCCCTGATCTTCTCAGCTCTCACAGAAGCCCATAGATTTCCTTGTGACCTTTTGGCCAGGATGGAGTAAGAGCAGAGCAGACTTGGGTATGGGGTTCCTGGCCTCACCTCTGCAACACCGTTTCCTTCCTGATGTTCTGTTTGGCACCAGTGTTCTCCCTGGGGAGGTGTTTTTCAATGTTAGCCAGGTCTGCCTCTGTGTACTGATCAGGGAAACTGCCTGAGGTTGCCAGGGCCAACAGGCGATGAAGGGTTATAAGATCCACACGCTTGGGCACCAGCAAGGCCACCGGTTGGCCTAACATGCCAGCATGCCAGCTGGCATCTCGTAGGCACTGGAGAATGGCCTCCTCTGACCCAGACGGCAGATGGAAGAGGCGGGCCTGACAAATGCCAGAAGCCAGAGTGATAGCAGTATGGCGCCCAGTACCCAGAGCCTGTGAGAGCAGTAGGCCATGCTGCCGGGGCCTGGCCAGCACCCGGACCAGGCGGGCCACATGCTGGGCCATGGAGTGGCATCGAGCAAGGTTGGGGCTCAGCTTCAGCTGAGAAGCTGAAGTGGCCAGCTGCTCCTCCAGGCTCTCCCACTGTCGTTCCAGGTACAAGTTGGGGCTCTCAGAGTTAGACCCCAGTATCAGCTCCTGACTGAAGACCAGATCTGAGGGCTTTTCCTGGGGACGGAGTAGTAGCGCTGGTAGCAACAGCGGTGAAATCTGGTCCATCTGAGGTGCCTTATGCCACCAAGACTTGGATGATTTGTTTCCCTGGAGCTGATGGCTGGGAGCCCTTGTGTCTTCTTCCTGCCTTATCTTGTGACTGATGCTTTCTGTGGTCTCCCTGCTTGCTGGCCTTATGGATGGTGCTCGACTTGAATCAGTGGGGTGTGAGCTTCTGATGATCTGAAGGCCATAAGGGTCCTCTTCCTCCTCTGTCTCACTGTTGCTATTGCTTGAGTCCTCCCACTGGGCCAGCTCCCCTTCAGATTCCACTTCAGACACCTTCTCCTCCTCCTCATCTTCCTCAAGGTCCTCACCCAGCTGATGGGGCCCCAGCCCACAGCAGAAGACACTCTGAGCTACTTCTAGGAGCAGCTTGGCACAGTAGGAGCGTTCCTTAGGGCTGTCTAGCCGGTCACAAAATGTTCTCTGTGCCTCATGCAACCAAAGACGCACCATGTTGCGCATGGCCACCATAATGGTCAGGCGAGTGCCACGCAAGCCTGACACCCGGCGCAAGTGCTCCTGGTGGTTGGGACAGTCCACAAAACCTTGGGAGCCTATTCTGGTGGGCAGCAGCTGCAGGCTTCCCAATAGCTGGCTCACAGAGTGTAGGGAAAAGCGGTAGTGTGGGCAGAGGGGTGAAGGCATGAAGCAGTTGCTCACAGCCTCCCAGGCCTCCACTGAGGCCCGGACCAGGGCTCTTGCCAGAACACTCTCCTGCTCCACAGAAGGGAAGCCCTCAAGCCAGGCCTGAATACCAGGCACATGCCTGCTCAGCAGGGTGGCCTGGCTCATGCTTTCCAGGGCCAGCACTGTGAAGAGTCGAAAGAGGCGTGGGCATAGTGGACGCTCACAGTAGCCTGGTACTGTGGCAGTGGCAAGGAAGTTGACTATAGGCTGCAGCGTCTGCAGTTCCAAGGTGCCGTGGGCATACACAGTGCCGTCTATGGCCTGGCGCAGAGTCTCCAACACTGGTTGGCAGCTCTTCTCTGGGTCTGTGGGACATGAAAAATAACGGTGAGGATGCGTGCAATTCACATGACAGTGTCACCCTGTTCCACCTCTTCTGCCTCCCAGGTCTCCTTCTGGTACACACAGAGTTTTAAAGGAATTTTATGCATCTGATGTGTTCGGACTTGGTCAGGTTTAAGTTGTTCTGCCTCCCCCATATTCTCCCTAAAATTGAGTAATTTCTTCTCTCTTCTCCCCCAGATTCTGCCTCTATGACCAAATATTATTAACTGAAGGTTAATGAATGGTAAGATTTGGAAGCTGAGATGATGGAAACCAGATTTGATCGAAATTAGGGGGTACAATCATTTCAGTCAGAAAGTGGAGTTATATCACATGTGTATGCTTTTTAGAAATCAACTTTATTAAGACATGGTTTACATAAAATAAAACGTATACATTTTACAGGTCTAGTTCAATGAGTTTTGATAAGTGTATATACCTGTGTAACCACCACCCCAATGATATTTAGGATATTTCCTCATTCTAGGAAGTTCCTTCATGCTCCTTTACAGCCAATCCCCTACCACCGCTGTCATAGGCATTGTTATTTGGTCTGACTTCTATCACTATAGGTTAGTTTTGCCTGTCCTAGAACTTCATATAAATGGAATCATATAGTATGTGCTTGATCACGTCTATCTTCTTTCGCTCGGTAGGTTTCTGAGATTCATCCATGCTTTTGTGTCTATCAGTAGTTTGTTTCATTTTATTCCTGAGTAGTATTTGTTTTGAGGGCCCCAAACTAAGTTGTACCAGAGCAGTTAGCAACCCTGCCCTAACAGGAAATGAAGAGGAGCTGATGTGGGTGTTTATAGTATGTCTTTCGTGGGATACTTCTTTTAACTGACAGTCTAATGCCTAGTTGTCTGACCCATCACTGGGGGGTCCTCACACAGGAAGCTTGTTTTCACTGGCAGATGCCCTTGTGGCTCTTGTTTGACCGTGTCCAGTTTATGCTTGCCTAACCATTGCTCTGGCACTAAGAGCCCAACCTTGTGTTCTCCCCAGTGTCCTGGGGAAAACTCAGTCTGGAGTAGCCCCTGGTTCTTTAGATGGAAGGGGAAGATTCAATACACAACAACAATAGGAATGAGTTGGGAGGGCAGTCCATCCCTGGGTCACGTGAGGCAAGAATGAAGAGTCAGGCCAAGAGAAAGAGGAAGGGTTGGGGAGAGACTGTCTATAAGGGAATAAGGTGTGGGTCATTTTATTAGTAAGTTCTTGGACAAATGCCTAAATGATCCGTTTAAAGGAAAAGCGGCAAAGCGGGGATCCCAGTCTGCTAGTCAGGAGAGATGCCTCTAAGTTCTTATCTCTGACCATCGGCTTGAACCATTTGGGTGTGGATGGGCATTTAGGTTGTTTCCAGGTTTGGCTGGTCAGTATAATGCTGCTGTGAACATTCATGTGTAAGTTTATTTGAGGACATGTGTTTTCATCTTACTTGGCTGAATACTTATAAGTGGAATTGCTGGGTCATATGATAAGTATATATTTGATTTAGTAAGAAACTAGCACATTTTTTTTCATAGTGGTTGTACCATTTTACACTCTCACCAGCAAAGCGTTTCAGTTGCTCCACATCTTTGAAAACACTTATTATTGTCAGTCTTTCTAATTATAATCTTTCTAGTTGGTGTGAAGTGCTATCACATGGTGGTTTTAATTTGCAGTTCACTGACGCCTGATAACATTGAGCATCTTTTCCTATACTATTGGCCACTCATACATCTTCTTTTGTGAAATGTCTGTTCAAGTCTTTTGTCCATTTAAAAAAATTGGGATTTTTTTTTTTCTGTTGAGTTGTAAGCACTTTTTATGTATTCTGGGTACAAGTCTTTTGTCAGATATATGTGCCTATTTTCTCTCTGACTCTGGCTCATTTTTTCATTTTCTTAATAGCATCTTTTGAAGGGCATTAAGTTTTTAATCTTGATAAAATATAATTTTTGTGCCTTATCTAACAAATCATTGCCTAACCATGGTCACACAGATTTTTCTCCATTTTCTTCTAAAAGTTTTTATAGTTTTAGCTTTTACACTTAGGTCTGTGATCCATTTATAATTGATTCTTATGTATGTTGCGAGGTAAGATTCAAAGTTCATTTTGTCCCGTGCAGATATCCGGTTGTTCCAGCACCAGTCTTTGAAAAGACGATCCTTTCCCCCACTGAATTATCTTGGCACATTTATTGAAAATCAACTGGCCAAATACAACATATATTACCGTATATCAGATTCTCTTTTCTATTCCATTAGTCTGTATCTATATCCTTATACCAATACCACATTCTTGATTACTATAGCTGTACATATAGCAATTCTTAAAATCACTAGTGTGTTACAACTTTGTTCTTCTTTTTCAAAGTTGTTTTGACTCTTCTAGGTCTTTTGAATTTCCATATAAGTTTCAGAACATGCCTGTCAATTTCCACACACACACACAAAGCCTGTTAAGATTTATACTGGCATTGCATTGAATGTATAGATCAATCTAGGGAGAATTAACACCTTAATGATATCGACTCTTCTGATCCATGAGCATGATATAACTCTCCATTTATTTAAGTTTCCTCTATCTCAGTAATATATAGTTGTTTTCAGCGTACATATCTTGTATATTTTTATTAACTTTATTTCTAAGTATTTTAAGCTTTTAAATGGTATTCAAACAATATTTTAAAATTTCAATTTCCAGTTGTTTGTTACTAGGATGGAGAAATACAAATGATTTCAGTAGATTAACTTTGTATCCTGTGACCCTGATAAATTAACTTATTTATTCTAGTAGTTTTATGGGTGGTTTTTTTTTTTTTGGTAGATTCCTTATGATTCTCTATATAGACAATCATGCTGTATGCCATGCAGACAGTTTTACTTTGTCTTCTCCAATTTTAAAGGTTTTTATTCCTTTTTCTTATCTTATTGCACTCATGTAGTCTCCAGTACAATATTAACTAGAAGCAGCGAGAGTGTACATTCTTGCCTTTTGATTGATTTTAGGGGGAAAGTATTCAATATATCACCCTTAAGTATGTAGTTAGCTGTAAGGTTTGTTTGTTTGTTTGTTTGTTTGTTATTTAAGAGACAGGGTCTCACTCTGTGGCCCAAGCTGGAGTGCAGTGGTGTCACCATATCTCACTGCAGCCTTAAACTCCTGGGCTCCACCTCAGCATCCAGAGTAGCTGGGACTACAGGCATATCCCACCTTGCCTGGCTAATTTTTCTATTTTTTGTGGAGATGGGATCTCACTATGTTGCCCAGGCTGGTCTTGAACCCTTGGTCTCAAGCAATCCTCCTACCTTGGCCTTCCAAAGTGCTGGGATTACAGGTGATAGTGCTCAGCCTCTCCCTGTTTCTATCAGCTTTTTCTTCACATATTTTGAAGGTCTGTTTAAGCTGTGTACATGTTTAGAACTTTTATGTCTCTCTGATGATTTGAATCTTTTAATTATGAGATATCCTTTTCTATCTCTGGTAATACCCTTTGTCTTAAAGTGCTTTGGTATTAATATAGCCACACCAACTCACTTATGCATACTATTTGTATGGTAAATATTTTGCTGTTTTTTAAAAAAAACTTTTAATCTATCTGTGTTTTTATAAAGTGCATCCCTTAGAGAGCATATAGCTAGGTCTAACTTTTTCATTTAGTTTGACAATGTTGGCCTTTTATTTGGTATGCTTAATCCATTTAAATCTAATGTAATTACTGATATGGTTGGTTTAAAGTCTATTATATTGTGATTTGTTTTCAATTTGGCCCTTCTATTTTTTATTCCTCTGTTGCTCCTTCCATGCTTCCTTTTGCATAACTTAAATACTTTTAATATCTCATTGTATTTATTAATTAGCTCTTTAGCTATACTCTTTATTACTATTATTTATTGACTTTTCTAGGGCTAGCAATATGCCTCCTTAACTTACTATTAATAATATTAAAAGTAATATTGTACCACTTTACACTTCATACCTGACACCTTTCCCACTTCGTATTTCACTCTTTTCACTTCATTTTTTTTTTTTTTTTTTTTAGAGACAGGATCTTGCTCTGTGACCTGGGCTAGAGTGCAGTGGTGTCATCATAGCTTAGTGCAACCTCAAACTCCTGGGCTCACTCAATCCTCCTGCCTCAAGTGTCCCAAGTAGCTGGGACTACAGGCACGCACCACCATGCCCAGCTACTTTTTCTATGTTTGTAGAGACGGGGTCTTGCTCTTGCTCAGGCTGGTCTCGAACTCCTGGCCTCCAGCAATCCTCCCGCCTCAAGCTCCCAAAGTGCTAAGATTATAGGTGTGAGCTACACACCCAGCTCCACTTCATATTTAATACTTCCCATTTCACAAATGTAGGAAACTTATAATAATATAATTCAATTTACTCATTTCTCCCCACCACATCCTTTTAGCTATTCTCTCTCTTAGTTCTACCTACATTACTAACCCCATCTAACAATGTTATTGTTTTTGTTTTAAACTATTAGCTGTCTTTTAATAATCAGGGAAGAAAAAGATAGTCATTTATATGTGCCCACATATTTATCATTTCTGATGCTTTTATTCTTTCTATAGTTCTGAGTTTCCATCTGCTATTATTTCCCTCCTGCCTATAGAAAATCTTTTAGCATTTCTTATACTAAAGTTCTAACAGCAATGAAGTTTCTCAGCTTTCATGTGTCTGAAATATCTTTATTTCACCTTCATTTGTGAAGGATCTCTTTACTAGATAGAGAATTCTAAGTTGATGGGTTTTTTTTCCTTTTGGTACTTAAAAGATGTTTTTCACCATTATATGGACTCCATTGTTTCTGAGAAGTTAACCATCATTCTTAATGTTGTTTCTCTGTATATATTAACAATTTGTCTTTTTTTTCCTCTTACTATTTTCAAAGTTTTTGTTTCTTTGGTTCTCAGCAGTTTGACTATAATGTGCCTAGATGTGGTTTTCTTTTTATTATTCTGCTTTAGGATAACAGAGCTTTTCATGTCCAAAAGTCAATACTTTTCAAGAAGTTTGGGAAAATTTTGGTAATTATTTCCTCAAAAATTTTTTATGTCCTATTCTTACTCTCTCCTTCTGGGACTCCAATTACATATGTGTTAGACTTAAGCTGTATTCATATTTAATATTTTTATATTCTTCAGGGTTCACTGACTCTTTTTTGCCATCTCCAGTCTGCTATGGTTTGGATATTTGTCTCCTCCAAAACTTATGTTGAAATTGAATCCCTATTGTAGCAGTACTGAGAAGTGAGGCCTTTAAGAGGTTATTGGGTCATGAGGACTCTACCGGCATGAATGGATTAATCTACTCATGGATTAATGGGTTATCATGAGAGTTGAACTCGTAGCTTTATAAGAAGAGGAAGAGACTTGAGCCAGCATGCTCAGTCCCCTCACTATGTGATGCCCTGTGCCACCTCAGGACTTTGCAGAGACTTCCCACCAGCAAAAAGGTCCTCATGAGAAGTGGCCCTTGACCTTGGACTTCTCAGCCTCTATAACTGTAATAAATAAATTCCTTTTTTAAAATAAATTGCCCAGTTTCTTGTATTCTGTTGTAAGCAACAGAAAACAAAGACACCCATCCAGTGAATTTTTAATTTTAGTTATTGAAATTTTTAGTTCTAAAATTTCCATTTAGCTCCTTTTAGTAGTTTCCATTTCTCTGCTGAGATGCCATATCTGGTTACTCATTAAGATCATGTTTTTCTTTAAGTGTTTGGATACTTTTATAATAGCTGCTTTAAAGTAGTATTTGTCTTTAATGTTTAGTATTTGTCTGCTAAATCTAACATCTAGACCATCTCAGGGTCAGTTTTTTTTTACTCCTTGTTGACAGCGGGTCACATTTTTTCCTGTTCTTTTTTTTTATATGTCTATTAATTTTAATTTTATACTGGATGTTTTGGTGATTATCAATTAAGGACACCTTTTACACTCTGCCAGCTTTTCACTCTACAACGTTGCTTGCAAAGTCTTCAACCCTGGTGCTGCAATCATTTCTCAGCTGAAATCTCTTCACATATCTGGCTATACTACCCTTTACCCTTTCTATTTTCTACTGACTCCCTAATTATTTGTATAAATTCATTGCAAAGGCTAACTAATATATTATAGTTGGAAGGAACTACAGGCTTTGGAGCCAGATAGACCTGAATTTTCATCTTCATTTTAACACTTAATAGCTAGGATGTCTTGGGCAAGTTATAAAATCTGTCTCAGTTTGTCTACCTTTAAAATAATCACTAAAGATCTCCATCTTGTTAGGATTTTATAAACACTAAAGATGACATATATAAAGCATATAGCACATAGTAAATACTCAATAAATTGTACCTGCTATTATTAAGTAGTGATACACCTGGTTCAAGTTTTCTACACCCCATAAGGATTCACTGTTTGACTCAACAATGCATCCATTAGCCCATTGACTCCCTTGACTCCAACAACCTACACATACGCTTCGCTCCTACCTGATCCCATGCCCATATTTAGAACCTGTCATCATGTGGAGGTACACCACTTTAGAAACTTTAAACATCAATATTCCAAACTTTCATCACAAATTCTCCCCTTTCCTTTGTTATCTTTTTGTCCTCAAACTTATTGAGCAGTTACTTCCTGTTGGGCCTATCAAAATGAATGTGATCAATCCCTCTTCTCATAAAGTTCAGAGTGTAGTGTAAAGGACAGGCAAGTAGGCATACAATCCTAAAATCATGGTTACCATAGGTTATTGAACAGAACACAGGATAGATGTGTAACCTGCCTTGGAGCTCAGGCTTCCTGGAGGAGCTATTGCCTTAGATAATTTAGAAAGAATAAGTAAGATTGAACCAAATGGAGGAGAGAAAGCACAGAGGACAGCAACCCCAGAGGCTAGATGAAGCCTGCCTTGTTGAGTCCAGTTAGAGCACAGAGTATAAGAGGATACAGAAGAAAGCCTCATCACAAGAATGTTTGCAAGGACATTTGCCAAAGTTCCAAGTAATGATTATCTGAACCATGGAAATAAGTGGAAATATTCAAGAGATATTTACGAGGCAGAATTGAGAGACTTGGTGACTAGACATTGGTGAAAGAGAAGATGTCAGCAAGATTTCTGGCTTAAGTGACTTGTTGGATGGTGAAACCAGTTACTAAGAGCACACATAGGAACAGATTTTGTGGGGGAAGATGATAAGCTCAGGGTTGGGTCCGAGGTATCAATGGGACAACAAGATGGAGATGTACTGTAGGTAGTTGGATAAATAGGTCTGATGCTTAGAAGAGAAGCCTGGGTTAGAGAGAGGGGTTTAACAGTTAAAGCAAAGAGATGGTGAATAAGGCCATGGGTGGGTGAGATTTCTCAGGGATGAGAAGATATTAAGAATGGAACACTAAAGTTTGATCTGCAGACATATATTTGAGAGTCAACGAATATTGCTAGGGATTTTACAGTCTCAAGAGATGACAGTAGGCCAGGCGCGGTGGCTCATGCCTGTAATCCTAGCACTCTGGGAGGCCGAGGCAGGAGGATCGTTTGAGCTCAGGAGTTCGAAACCAGCCTGAGCAAGAGCGAGACCCCATCTCTACTAAAAATAGAAAGAAATTAATCGGACAACTAAAAATATATAGAAAAAGTAGCCGGGCATGGTGGCGCATGCCTGTAGTCCCAGCTACTCGGGAGGCTGAGGCAGGAGGATTGCCTGAGCCCAGGAGTTCGAGGTTGCTGTGAGCTAGGCTAATGCCATGGCACTCTAGCCCGGGGAAAAGAGTGAGACTCTGTCTCAAAAAAAAAAAAAAAAAAAAAAAGAGATGACCGTAGCTCCTTCCTTCCCACCTCCCAGCTCCTCACCAGAAGTGGCCAGGTGCAGATCCTCCAGCAGGAAGAGAAGGGAGTCTTTAGAATCCTGGTGATGCCCAGACCACAGGCTGGCTTGGGCTTGGCCCTGGACCCCTCTACTCAGCAGGAGACGGAGGTGGGTGGAGCTGAAGACAGGGTGGATGGCGCTGTATATGTAAGGGTGGCTTGGCTCCACTAGCACCTCCACAAAGGCTGACTTCCCTGTTGCTGCCTCTCCAGCCAGCAGCACAGGCTGTCCCGCTGACAGAAGCAGGTCCACTGCATAAAAGAGCCGTTCAGTCTGCACAACAGAAGCAGGGCTTACTGTGGCAGCTCTGGTGTAGGACAGTCGAAAATAAAGGTTTAGGGGACTTGTCTTAGAGCTGTACTTAGAAAATACTTCATGTATTCTTGTGATTGTGAAAACTTATCAAAGAAAGGGAGCAGGTGGGCCTCAGTGGAGCTTTGGACATAGATTATCCCTAGCATAGCTCCTTAAATTCCAAACCCAGCTCCTGCCCCACTGTCCTCACACCTGAGTAGAAGGGTGGAAAGTGCCCAGAGTCCCTTTCACGTGGTTGCTCAGGTAGTGCCCAGTGAAGGGGGCCAGTGTCCCATCTTCGGGGCTTACGTGTAGATCAAACACCAAGGCTGACGGTGGTGGCTCAGGGTAGTTGGAGAGGCAGCTAATGGAACCCCTCATGAAGGTATCAAAGACGGGCCAGAGCCTGCTCAGATGGACACACAGGCAAAAGTGTTAGACAGTTACAACATTTCAATTTGTGAGACACTCACACACTCCACCATACCCCAACAGTGATGTCACATGGGTTTTTATTTTTTTTTTGAGACAGAGTCTCACTCTTTTGCCCGGGCTAGAGTGAGTGCCGTGGCATCAGCCTAGCTCACAGCAACCTCAAACTCCTGGGCTCAAGTGATCCTTCTGCCTCAGCCTCCTGAGTAGCTGGGACTACAGGCATGCGCCACCATGCCCGGCTAATTTTTTCTATATATTTATTTGTCTGATTAATTTCTTTCTATTTTTAGTAGAGACGGGGTCTCGCTCTTGCTCAGGCTGGTTTCGAACTCCTGAGCTCAAGCAATCCGCCCACCTCGGCCCCCCAGAGTGCTAGGATTACAAGTGTGAGCCACCGCGCCCGGCCATCACATGGGTTTTGACTTCCATGGGCCAGTCCATCTCAGCCCTCTGCATCCCCCATCCCCCATCCCTGTAGGCACCTGGAGGGAAGGTGGGCTCCAAAGCCCCAGATCAGGGCAAACAGAAAACTGCTGACAGCCAGCAAGTGTTCCCTGTGCTTATTCGATACGTCATTGCTGTCAGCCTGGGACTGGTTCAGAGAGCCGCTTTTTGAAGACTTGATGCTTTGGGACACAGGATCGCTAACGCTGAGGTCTTCTGCAAAGGTCATCATGGCCAGGATAGGAGTCCCAGTAGAAAAAGTAGGACGGGGGAGTGGAGGAAAAAGTAGAGGTTAACTATATTATTTCTCTTCACTTTTAGTCCCCCTGACCCAGCTCTACCCAGACTCCAGCTATACCCTAGCCACTCTCAAAGTCCCATCTCTCTCAAATCAGCCCGTCCCTCTCCTCACCTGGGCCACGTGCCTTCTTCTCCTCTAGATGCAGGTGGGGGTCAAGCAGAGCACGCAAGATGCGGGCCAGGCTGGTGACTTCTGCCACACCTGGGCAAACAGCCTGCTGCCCATGTACCTGCAGCACAGAGCTGGCACCCTGGCGGGCAAGGAATCGGAACGTGGCAGGCACCAGAACTTCAGCTAGGCGGTTGAGCTCAGTGATTGTCTGTTGCTGCAGGCGGTACTCATGGGGCAGGGATGCCATCAGGACACTAAGCATACACTGCCAAGTCTGCTCCCCACCACACCAGACTAGGGCACAACAGCCCACCACTGTGGGAGACATACCTGTTGCATCTGCCACTTCCATCAAGAGAAAGGTACCTGGGGGTCGTGCTATCTGCTGTCCATTGGGGAGAGTAAGCTGGGGGAGCTCACTCAGGAGGCAAGTGATGAAGTCCAGCCAAGCAGCATTAGAGGCCCCATCACATATTATCCAGTGCTGGATCCCCACTGATTCCTCCTTCTGCCCTTTTGGCCCCATGCTGTTACACTGACTGGCTGCATGAAGAACCCTGGGGAAGACACCATGGTGCCAGCAGGGGCCCTCTAGCCATCCCAGGAACTCCTGGGGGCTGAGGACACTGGGGTACAGGTGGGTAATTTCTGCAGGCTGGTAGCCATGGGTTGAGGTGGCCTCCATGGCTGCCAGCCGATTCTGGATCTTAAATAAGCTGTGCCAACAAGTGGTCTTGCCGCTGCCTGCAGGGCCCAGGAGCAGAATGCCTGATGTCCGGCATAGGGCCTGGCTCAGCTGTTCCAGGGACCCCAAAATGTCAGGGCTAGGATGCAGGCCTACCTGCCTCAGTTCCTCCACCATTAGTGGCTTCAGCAGCCTGTGGGTCATAGGCTCTGCCAGCACTTGGCTGGCACTAGGGAAAAGCCCACAGAGCAGCTCTCGGAGGTTGTGCAGGCGGAGCCCACTGAGGATGCTGAACAGTGGTGAGCGCAACAGGGCACGCAGTAGGGCAGCCTCCTCAAGGGCAGCCTGGCTGCGGGGCTGCTGAGTCTTGGGTTCCCCCTTGGTCTCATTTAGTGTCTGTATTGTGTCTTGTAGTATCTGCTTGAGCAGTGGTAAGCGGCAGGGCAGGGGCCCAGACACCAGCTCACGCTCTAGGAAGAAGAATTTGGATAGGCGGGTAGCCATGCGGGAGGCATCTCGTATCCCTGCACCTAGCAGGGTCAGCTCTGCCACTTGCTGGAGATCAGGCAGTGCCAATGCCACAGGCCGCAGTAGCAAGTGCAGGTTGGCAGGCACAGCAGGGCTCAGGGCACGCAGTGTCAGGAGACAGCCATAGCCAAGGCGCATAGACACGTGATGTTTCTCAAAGAAGCCACTGCCAAGGAGCTGGGGCTGGGTGGGGTCTGTGGTACTGGTGGTCCGGGAAGCCTCCTGATACAGTGGGGCATAGAGGTGGTGCACTTCAGCCAGACGCTGGCCCAAGGCAGAGAGCAAGCCAGAGGGCAGGTGCTGAGCTGCATCCAGCAGCAGCCAGGCACCACCCTGCAGGGCACCATTCAGGTAGTTGCTCAGGCACTGGGCTTCTATCTGAGATGACCAGGGCATCATCACCAGCTGGCGGCCCAGGGCCCGTGCCAAGTTTTTTACCGTAGCAACCTTGCCCACACCATCAGGGCCCAGGAGGGTCCCACAGGCCACTTCCTCCAGGGCCAATAACAGCACCAGGGCTGTTCGCTCTGGCAGCAGGCTGGGTAGAGGCCCCAGTCTGGGACCCAGGTACTCATAATTGTACAGGAAGGACCGGCCCAGTACATCTACCCAGCATGCAGCTGGTGCCAGAGAAGGCTCAGTAGATGCAATAGCCTTGAGACTCTGCAGGGGGCTTTGGGGGATCATGTGAGGTGAACCCAGATGATACTTGAGTTGGCGGACCCAGTGGAAGTCTGTCAGATCACTGACCTGGTGCTGCTCCAGCAACTGTGCTATATCCCGGTGAGTCATTGCCATGACCAGCAGGGCACTGAGCAGGCTGGCCTGGCGAACAGAGGGAAGGGGCTGCCCACCCTGGGAGCCCCTCTGGGCCCGTACAAAATATACCAGTACCTCAAGCTTGCGCGTATGCATGGGGACCATGGCTGGAGTTCCCCCCTTAAGCAGAGTCTCCTCCATCTCAGCCCGCCACACCACCTCCTCTGCCACCAGCACACACTGCCATGGGAAGGCCTCGACTAAATCCAGCCAGTGGTAGCCATATAGTTGTGGGGGCAACTGGCTTTGCTTGAAGGCTTCACCTAGGGATGGCCCCTGGGCAAGGCGGGCAGCCACACAGTTCTGCAGCATGTGCACCAATGCCAAGCGCAGACACTGCTCCAGAGAGGCCAGCCACTTAGGGAGATCTGGATGCAGAGGAAGGGGCTCCTGCAGCTCCACTACCTCCCCACCCACCCCTAGCACTGCAAGTGCCTCCACCTGAGTCTGTGTGCTGGGGCTTGACGCCTGGTCATCCCTGTTTTTCTCATCAGTTGAGCAGGACTTGAAATTCACAGCATGCACGTGAGGAAAGCAGCGTTGTACCCACAGCTTGGCCTCACATGACTCCAGCGGGGCAGCCAGCAGGGCTACCAGCTCACTGTCACTGAGGAAGAAGAGGCGGGGGAAGTAAGCACACACCCCATAAAGCACACTCTCCAAAGCCATGATGATACCCTCCAGCTCCACTGATCCTGCTTGCAGTAGTTGTTGCAGCTGCTGGCCTTGGAAGTAAGGGCTCCTCTTGGCACTGGGTACTATAAGTGACAGAACCATGGGGTCAGCTACAGAGATGCGCATCAGGGTTCGATACTGATCATCCATGGCCTTGAAACGAGAGTTCTGTGGCAAGAGAAAGGTAAAAGTGAGGACAAATATGAAGTGACAGCTCCCCCTCTCACCCTGAGCCCCACTTTTCAAAAGCCCATCTTTCCCACTCTGCCTCAGCCCCCTCCTTCCCTACCAGGTCAGCACTAGGAAACTGGATCTTCATCTCATGCAGAGCTTTATTCAGAAAAATCCACTTCTGCTGGAAAGTTACCCATACCTCCAGCAGGGCACCTGTATAAAAGCCAGAGGAACACTGGTGGGAGACACACAAGGTGTTAGCTTCTGCAAGGGGGTCCAGCCTGCTCCTGACCTCTCTGGTGTTCCACCAGGCCAACCAAAATACTCTACTCAGCAGGACCCAGGGACTTTACTTTGGGGAGATAAAACTCTTACTGTGAATAAAGACCTGGTCACCTCATCCCAAGAAATAGGTCCTGAAGTAGGTCCTCACTCTGTCCTTCATATCTTCCCCCACCTAACCTCTACCTCTTGCCCCTATCATGCTGGGCCATTCTGCCTCAGGTCCCACCTGTCATCCCAGCTAGAGGCCTACACTCACCCAGGCCATGCATGATGGTCACCCATTCCAGAGATGTTTTGTATAAGTCTCCTGACTTCTGGATGGCCATGATCTTGAATAACACCTGAAGACTTTCCTGGATGGAATCCTGCAGGCTGCTGTAGTCTAAGGAAGAAAAAGCTGAGCTGGTAGGCAGATAGGGCAAGGGCAGGTACTGAAGCAGAGAAGAGCAGACCAGGCGACCTTCCAGGAGAGGCAGTTACAGAGAACTTGGTACTCTTTCTATTTCAAGGATTTCATTGGCCAATACAGTAGAACCAGTAGAGCACTGGGGTCTCAAAATAGGAAGAGGAGAAACTTCCCCTTCCCCAGGCACTGTGGGAAGACTCCAGGCCAGCTGATTTCCCTGGCTAGATACTATGGGTATCCACCTAGTCCCTTGGAAGTTCTTTGAAGAACTAGAGCCTCCAACCTGGGAAGAGGGCTCAATGGCTCCAAGTCCCTATATAATATTATATTTCTATAGCAAGAATGCCCATTCTGGCATGAAAGGGGTCCTGGTAGAAAAGCCGGGATCAAAACTTTCTCTCATAGCCTTAGCATTTGGCTCCCTGGTACTGCTTAAAGATTTATGCCATCATGCCATGACAGAAGTGAGGTAAGGACACTAACTGGGGTGAAAATGGGAGAAGAATTGAGAAAGGAGGTTGAGTCAGACAGATGGAGGATTCTCCAAACACCCCTGTTGGGGAGAAAATACTCAGTGTCCTGCTCTCAGAGTGAAAGAACTTATACTGTGCTCTCTAGAGAAAACATTATAGGTGAAATATTTTTAGCACCTCTGTCTATCCCCTTTACTTGCTCCTCCCCATGTGAGGAGGTAAAAAGGCCCATCTCTTGTGCTCTAAGGGACATGAGGCAGGCCATAATCCTCCACGCAGCTACCTGAGTAAATGCACTTCAACTTCCCTCTGTATATCCCTGGAGATCTCAGGTTCTCAATTGATTTGGGGTAGGTTGTGAAAAGACAGTGTGAAAACTCACTTGACTTAGATCTAAGCTGTGTTTGTCAACACAGTACATAAAAAACACACAGTTTCTTGGGAGTAATAGTTCTGATATTATACTTTCATTTTTATGTATCTCCTTGTTCTCATTTGGTTAATAATCTAAACAGGAGAATTAATGATTAGTTGCTATGCTCAACCTTACAATGATCTGTCTTCCTGGGGTAGAAATTAAATACACAAGAAGTTCCATCATCTCAGGCTCATTTGAGTGAAAGAAGTCACCAGCCTCATGGTGTGTGGCCACCACAAAGATGTGGTCCTTGCTCACCATGCCTGGAGTTAATAGGGAAAAAAAGCCTGGCACAGAGAAAGGATAGAATCTGTAGGGAGAAACCCCAACCATACATGCGCTTGGTGCAAATGCCAGCTTAGAGAGAGAAGGGAAAACTGGAAGGGAGAAAAGGTGGTGGGAAGGGCTGTGAGCTCAAGTGAAGACTGGGAGGACCCACACTCGTGTCTGACGTTATGCTCAGAGACAGCCCAAGTCCCAGACTATGCAGAGCCTGTACTCTACTGTGAATTTTTATTTATTACTTTTAGTAGCAGAGGAATTTAAAGATGATGGAGAAAAGTGGTGGAGACCAAGTAGAACTGCAGTCCCCAACCCTCAGGCCACGGACCAGTACCAGTACTGGAATCAGACTGTGCAGCAGGAGGTGAGCGGTGAGCAAAGCTCCATCTGTATTTATAGCTGTTCCCCATCACTTGCATCACCGCCTGAGCTCTGCCTCCTATCAGATCAGCAGTGACATTGGTTGCAGGAAAAAAAGCTCAGGGCTCCTACTGATTCTGCATTATGGTGAGTTGTATAATTATTTCATTATATATTACAATGTAATAATAATAGAAATAAAGTGCACAATAAATATAATCGTCTTGAATCATCTCAAAACCACCACCACCACCCCCCACCTCGGTCCATGGAAAAATTGTCTTCCATGAAACCAGTCTCTGGTGCCAAAAAAGTTGGGGACCACTGAAGTATTAATAGAAGTAGATCTGCAAAATGTGGAACCAGGGTCAGAGATGGGCAAAAGGATTAGCATAAAATATGTTCAGAAACATTTGTACCCCTGTAATACGCTGAAATTTAAAAAATAAATAAATAAATAAAATAAAATAAAAATAAACCAATGGATCAATGTTTCCCCCCCAAAAAATGTGCTCAGGACAAAAGTAGGAAGAGAATCTCCTTTGGATCTTGGTGCAAATGTTAACTGCAGAAATCCAGCCTTTCTATCAGTCAGCACCAAAACTTATGAGTTCTTATGAAGAAAGATATGAACAAGGAGGCTGGGTATGTTACCAATGTCCTGAAAATAGCTCGAAAAGGCGTCCCTGGTCAAATACTGGACACGGAGAAGTGATAAGAATAAAGAGTTTGGGTGATGAGGAACATCCATGTTAGAACAGGAAGGACATAAATTCTCCTCCATGCAGAAGTTGGACCAGTTACATGTTTTCCCTAGTTGGACTCCTACATAGCTCAAGTCTACCCACTTTTCCCTTTCTCTATTGCTACCATCCTAGTCTAGGCCACTACTACTTTTTACCTGGGTTATATCAATAAATCATCTGTTAACTGATCTTCCAGTTTCCATTCTTTGCCACCCTTCAATCCATTCTCTATGTTGAAACTACAGTGACATTGTTAAACTAAAATCTGATCATGTCACTTCCCCACAAAAAATACTTTAGTAGCTCTCTATTGTTTTCATGTTATGTGAGTAAATTCTTAATGTGGCCCCCAAGACTCTGCATGATCTGACCTTTCCAGTTCCATCAGTCCCATACTCTCCTCTATTATCCTTTGGGCTCCAGAATTAGAAGCTCTTTTCGTGAATGCTACACATTCTTGCCTTAAAATATACTGAATAATGCCAAAAATTCAACTGAAACTCACAGGTCTCAAACTATTCTTTAGAAGACCCAAACATTTTTGCTTCTACTAGTTGAACTGTATGCTTGCCAAGAGTCAGAGTGTGTTTGCAAATCTATTTCAAGTTATAATTTTAATTACAGAATTAATCTAATATTGTGTTAACCACTATCATATGGGTGGGAAAAGAGTTGCTGTTGCTATGGAAACTATGCAAGGCTTCAGTAAAGGCAAGCTGATAAAAACATTTGTATCTGTACCCGCTTTGGGCAAAAAGGTTTCATACTTATAATGAAAAGACTCCTGCTTTCTTACGTGTGTTTTAGTACAAACTGTACCCACTGCTTTCTTTCCCAAAGTT